GCCCGAAAAAAGATATTTCTGGTGCTCGGTCTAAACTGAAATCTCGCAGAGTAGTTGAAGGAGACACACTGAACACGTAAATGGAAAAAAATGATGTACGAAAATTTATATCTCAGATCAGGGGCACTTTAATCACGCACCTGTCAAAGCTCATTTTGCATAATTCTGAAAAATTACCAAGAAATGTCTTTGACCGTTCAAACTTCGTTTGTTTATCTTCTACGTAAAGTATTTTAGGTTTTCATAACAGTTGGATAGAAAATAAGTCGTAACGCTTCAATGACTTACAAAGTAAACAAAGGCGATCGGAAGGCGCTTCCTCGATAATTTTTTCCTTCAATCAGGTCAAGAGCCACGTACAGAGTGGAGAAGATCAAAATTAAAGAATCTTATTTGGCATTATGGTCATTGCAGACATACTATGTAGCTTAAAAGGACACACAAACAAGTTACAATACGTGAACGTTACGGTGTTATTTAGAAAACAACCTTCTGCAAGAATTATATTCTTGCAGTTTCTTCCGAGGTTTAGCATACGGAATGCAATCAACAAGCCCTCCTTTCTGAAAATTTGCAGCCATCACTAGATATTTTATGTTGTTACAGTCCACAACGTTCTTGTGCGACAAACTTAACCTTTTCTCGAGACTATCAAAACAAGCTAGGAAAATACTGCTTTGCGTGATTATGCTAGTTAATTGACATGTTATATGACGCAATGTTGGTACAAAATACACCTCTGGTAATAAATAACCATAAAGTCGAGGTATATGAGTATTTTTGGGTTTCACCCACGTGACCAATAGCTTAGCAATGGTTACTATCCGCCATCTTGGTGTCCCTCGAGCGTAAAAAAACCGTATCTAACGAAGAGTTCATATGAGAAAGAAGGGATGGTTTTATGCATTGTTGTTGGCTGTTCGAGCAAAAGTGGAAAGCATAAAGGCTTAGGATTCTTTCGTATACCTAAGATTATTACAAGTTAAGGTGAAGAACAGGAGGAACTCACTACCAGGAGGAGAAACGAGTGGATTTCTGCGGTGAGTCGCGGCGACGCTACAAACAAGAGAGTGCTACAGAGTGAACGAGTTTGTAGCAAACACTTCGTCTTCGGAGAGCCAGCACCAGATTGGGATCAATTTCACGTCGATTGGGTTCCAACTGTTGCCCTTGGAAAGAAGAAGATGTAACCGAAAGAGATTTGAGAGCCAAGAAAAGAAGACAACAAGCGATCGAGCGAGCCGAGCTCGAAGCCGCAGAGAAGAAGAAACACGTGCACGAAAGCAATGTTCCTACCGCAAAAATAGATTTCAGCGAGCCAACTTCATCAGCTTCTGCAGTCGAACAGCATACAGAGGGATTTGAAACCGCGAGTGTAGCTCTAGAATTGGACGATTTTGACGAATTGGACGAAAACACAACACCAGAAAACCCACCACTGCCTGGTTCGAACGCTGATTCCGTAGAAGCAAGACAGCACACAGCTAGTCCAGTTTGCAAAGAAGCTACAACAAGCGACTCTAGCTGTCAGACCTATGAACTTGAATTTATGTTCTTACGAAAAGGATATCATGCGCCAATAAGAGATTTCTTTGACTCTGACAGTAAGGTACTGCTTTATACGGGAC